AATGTCCCTCTAGTGGACTTGGTCTGATGTTTTTCAGATGACCCGACTGGTTTTATGGTTTTGAGAGAAAGACCCTGGGGGACAAGTGCGCCTAATCACATATTGTCTGGGGCATTTGCTATCGATCTAACATGTTTGAGATTGCCCTTGGTCACCTGGCTGAGGGAGTGGCAGGTTTCTCCATATCTCCATATAAAGTTACTTCTTTCCCTGCCTTTCCAGTGTGTGCTCTTAGGAGGGATGTCCCCATGCACAGACCACACTTAAAGATTGAGGATTTATGCTCCATCTCCTTGTGGGATAAAGTATTTACATACATTATTTGGGATTCTTCTGCACCAGGATTTGTCTATTCTCTCTGATTTATTTACTTAGTCAATAATTTATATCCAGACTATAAATTATTATAGACTCCTGGATATAATACTCCTGGATATTTACTTTATACTTTGGGCTGTACTTCAGTTAGACTTTATTTTATTGTTCAGATTGTTACAGCTTGGCCTGTGGGAGCTCTTTCAGTTTGTTCCTCTGCGTCTTTGACATACCCCTATTGTTGACTTTTGTTTGCTTTGTACACTTTCTTATTTTCTGGTGCTACAAGATTCCCCAGACTCATCTTTTTTTAAATTAATTTATTTATTTTAATTGGAGGCTAATTACTTTACTATATTGTAGTGGTTTTTGCCATACATTGACATGAATCAGCCATGGATGTACATGTGTCCCCCATCCTGAGCCCCCCTCCCACCTCTCTCCCCATCCCATCCCTCTGGGTCATCCCAGTGCACCAGCCCTGGGCACCCTGCCTCATGCATTGAACCTGGACTGGCGATCTGTTTCACATATGATAATATACATGTTTCAATGCTATTCTCTCAAATCATCCCACCCTCGCCTTCTCCCATGGAGTCCAAAAGTCTGTTCTTTTCATCTGGGTCTCTTTTGCTGTCTCACATATAGGGTCATCATTACCATCTTTCTAAATTCCATATATATGCTTTAATATACTGTATTGGTGTTTTCTTTCTGACTTACTTTGCTCTGTATAATAGGCTCCAGTTTCATCCACCTCATTAGAACTGATTCAAATGCCTTCTTTTTAACAGCTGAGTAATATTCCCTTGTGTATATGTACCACAGCTTTCTTATCCATTCATCTGCCGATGGACATCTAGGTTGCTTCCATGTCCTGCCTATTGTAAACAGTGCTGTGATGAACACTGGGGTGCACGTGTCTCTTTCAGATCTGGTTTCCTCGGTGTGTATGCCCAGCAGTGAAACTGGGTCATATGGCAGTTCTATTTCCAGTTTTTTAAGAAATCTCCACACTGTTCTCCATAGCGGCTGTACTAGTTTGCATTCCCACCAACAGTGTAAGAGGGTTCCCTTTTCTCCACACCCTCTCCAGCATTTATTGCTTGTAGACTTTTGGATAGCAGCCATTCTGACAGGCATGAGATGGTACCTCATTGTGGTTTTAATTTGCATTTCTCTGATAATGAGTGATGTTGAGCATCTTTTCATGTATTTGTTAAGCCATCTGTATGTCTTCTTTGGAGAAATGTCTGTTTAGTTCTTTGGCCCATTTTTTGATTGGGTCATTTATTTTTCTGGGATTGAGCTGCATGAGCTACTTGTATATTTTTGAGATTAATTCTTTGTCAGTTGCTTCGTTTGCTATTATTTTCTCCCATTCTGAAAGCTGTCTTTTCACCTTGCTTATAGTTTCCTTAGGTTTTTTTTGGCCCCACTGTGTGGCATGTGGGATTTTTTGTTCCCCGACCAGGGATTGAACCCGCACCCTCTGCATTTGAGGTGTGGAGTCTTAACCACTGGGCCACCAGGGAAGTCCCAGTCCCAGACTCATCTTGTGTATTTCCTGCCTCAGTCCTAGAATCAACCATTTCTTCATGGAGTCCTAGTTGCTTTTATTGGAGAATAACATTAGAAACCAATATCTGGCACTAGATGTGTTCCCCACTATCACAGTGTCGTTGCTTCTAGACCCTCTAAGGTGACAGAGCAAGAAAATATATGTGCATCTATGCATGTCTATAAATAAATACTTCTGTGTGTAGCCATCTGTGTCTAAATTAAATTTAACATGAGTTCATACCAAAGTCTTCAATGGTAATCCATCACCACATGGCTGTTCCCTTATCTGAAAACTCTCATTACAACAGTGAGAAGCCACTCACACCACCTGCATCTGCTGACTTGATTGCTCCATTATGTGGACACATATAGAGGTACCAGAATGGTTAACCTGTGTCCACGTAGGAAACAATTTTATCAGCTAGAACTCAGTACTTCTGTACAGCTGCTTTTGCCTTTAATTTTATAGACACCACTCATTTCCTGAGTGACTTAGGTCAGTACCTTTTCCCTCATCCCCTTCACTGCAGTTGTTTCATCTATTTATAACATAGTTAAATTGTTTACTCACATTCTGCATTCCATTCTGGGTTTTCCCCCACTTCCTAAATGATTCTTTAAATATTTACACACATTAAAGTTGTGTTGTAAAGTTCAGTAGGTTTGGCAAATACCTAGTATCATGTATCATAGTATCATGAAGACTAGTTTCACCACCCTAAAAGATTCCACGTGCTTCACCAGTTCAACACCCCCACTTTCCAAGCTCCTGGTGACCATGGATGTTTTCACTCTCTCTACCATTTTGCTTTTCCCCCAAGAATATCATATAATTGAAGTCATACAGTGTGTTTTTTCAGCTTGACTTTTTATTTATCAATATGTATCTCAGTTTCCTCCATGTCTTTTTGTGGCTTGACAACTCATTTCTTATTATTGCTGGGGAATATTCCATTGTAGGGATAGACCAGAGTTTGTTTATCCATTCACCTATTGAAGGATATCTCGGTTGCTTTCAGGTTTTGGTGATTATGAGTAAAGCACCTCTAAACATTTGTATGCTGTCTTTATGTGGCCACAGTTTTCAAATCTGTTGGTGAATAACTAGGAGTGTAGTTGCTGAATTATGTGGTAAAACTATGTTTACCTTGTAAGAAATTGCCAAAATTGCTTCCAAAGTGGCTGTACCATTTTATATTCTCTCCAGAATATCATTTGAATATTTTTAAATTGCAAAAATAAATGTTGGCATCAAATTCAGATTCCCTAGAAATCAAACAAACAACCCAGCAGACCAAACAAAATATAAGGGAGCTGTATCTTCCCTACAGGTAGGCAGGTAATAACCTTTCTAATTGTTAGATCAACACTGTCCAATAGAAATTTATGTGCTGATGGCAATGCTCTGTATCTTCTTTGTCCAATTTAGTAGGATCTTGCCATGTTTCCCGTGGCTATTGAGTATTTGAAATGTGGTTAGTGAGATGGAGGAGTTGAACTTTAAATTTTAAGTTTAAATTTAAGTAGTCACAGGTGGCTATTGGGCGTCTTATTGGGTGGCCCAATTCTGGGCCACCCTAAGAATTTTGGCTCGTACTTGAGTGAGACGGGCTGCTCTGAAGGATTTTGTGCAGGGCAGAGGAATGATCTGACTTACATTTTTAAGTAACTTTAGATTCTGTATTAGGAATAGATGGGAGGGGAGCAAGGGCGGAGGCAGAGAGATCTGTTGGAAAGTTACTGCAATAACCTGGAACAAGAGATGATAGGGGTGTGGGCAAGAGTGATGGCAGTGGGGGAGGAAGAAGAGGCCAGATTTGGGATCTATTTTGAAGTTAGGGCTGGTGCAAGGTAAATATTTGCCAAACACACACTGTATTTTTGACAAAGGTCATGGAATTTTAGTTCGTTCTTGTTTGCAGTCTCATTTCTCTTAAATCTGCTCTCATTTTCTTTAAGCCAGTGAAATTTCCTGTCCCAGAGGTACCGTGTTAAAATCTTACTGGTTTCCTTTCTTCTGCTTTAAAGAGAATGATATGATGTCTTATTTTCAAGCTTTCATTGTAAATGTGAGTCTGGAATGAAGGTCATTTTTGATTACCTAATTTAAAAATTATTTTTGATGCATCCACTATGAGCTTGCATAAAGATAGTTTCCACCATGGTCATGGTCTTGGGTCATATGTGGATGGGGAAGAGGGAGCGGTCTGGCAGAGTTTCTATTGGGATCATATGTCAGCCTTGCAGGACTTTTAGAAACCAACATTGTCCACTAGCAATAGAATGTAAGCCACATATGTAACACTGCAAAATTTTGTGTTAAAATTTTAACATGTTAAAAAAGATTTAAAAAACAGGTGGAATTAATTTTAATGATATATTTTATTTAATCTGATATGTCTAAAATATTATGATTTCAGTAGGTAATCAATATAAAAAGTGATTGAGGAGGGTATGGCAACTCACTCCTATGTTCTTGCTTGGAGAATCCCACGGACAGAGGAGCCTGGCAGTCATATTCCAAAGAGTTGGACACAACTGAAGCTACTTAGCATGCACATTCCTAAAAAGTTACTAGCAAAATGTTTTACATTCTCTTTCCTTTGTACGAAGTCTTCCCTTAAAACTAGAACGTATTTTACACTTACCATCCATCTCAGTTCGGACTAGCTGCATTGTCAGAGACACTAAATTAGACTGCAAACTCTGAACATCTGCTGTTATGTTCAAATTGGGTTGGTGTGGGGAGGAGGAATTAAATTCCTAACTCTAACCATTGATGTCACGAATACTATTGGGGAATGAATTAAAGGAATATTGTATGATGTGACTGATGTGTTGTGTAAAAACAAACGAAAGATTAAAATATACCCCAAATCTACCAAACTCAGACTGGAGTTGTCAATCTGAGATACGTCTAACAGTGTTCTAGGAACCTGTACTAAAATAAAATCCTCTTTAAGAAAATCAAGGTATCACTTTTTCCTCCTTTTGACCATCAGGAAGTGTTAATTTTAAATAAAGTGCTTGAGAGAGACTTGCCCCAAGCGGAGGCTTTGGTGTCTCATCAACCTTGAATGGTAGGCGCTTTGCCTTAACCTTGTGTTTTCTGGATCTTTCAGCTGAAGCGGGTGTTTGGAAATTGCCTGCCACCCTTTCCACCAAAGTACTATCTTGCAATGACCACATCTATGGCTAATGAGAGAAGGGACCAGTTAGAACAATATTTGCAAAAAGGTATGTATTTGGATTTTTTAAAACAAATCTGTGGAAATGTGAAGGTTTATATCTGTCCTTAATGGCTCTTAGTATATTTACAGAATTGTGTAACCATCACCATCATCTAATCTGAAAGCATTTTTACCACCCCCAAAGAAATTTTATACCTATTATCAGCCACTTCCTATTTCTCCCCCTTACCAGTCCTTGTCTTTATACACTAATTTATGCCTTTATAAATTTGTCTGCTCTGGATATTTCATGCAAATGGAATCATACAATATGTGGTCTTTGTATCTGGCATAAGAATGCTTTGTTTAGAGTCACCCCTCCCCCAGGTACTCTGTGTTGGTTTTGATTGTAGAAAGCAAAGGAATGTCATTTGGATTAAGACTGAACAAAAGGATAAAGTGATCTGCTTTTATGTGAAAGCTTTCAGGAGATATCAGAAATGTTTACTGGCAGTGCTGGAGATGGCAGTTTCATCTCTGGCCTCCCTAGGAGCAGAGCTGAGGCACCAGGGATGCTTAGAGGTCTGCTCTGGACCCATGGGGCTAGTGATACAGAGTCTTGGTGTATTTCTGGGCTTCTGAAAAGTCCTATATGCACAGCAAGATGAGCTCTCATAAGAGAGGACGGTGGGGAGAAATAGAATCATTGGCGTTCAAACAGTTAAAGGTTTAAAAGGGGGAAATGGTATAGATATAAAATGTTTTAAAAATAAAACCTGGCCAAAGAGTTTAAAATGAAAGACACGTTCCCTTCCACCTCAGATTCCCATGCCTTTCAAAGAAAATACTATTATTAATACAAGAGGCTTGTGTATTTCTCAGAAACCATCCTGTGTATTCTAGTGTGTGTGTACATCTTTGTTGGTTAAAGACAAATCGAAGCTTATTCTGTACATTTTTCTGTATCTGAGTTTTGTTTTGAATTAATTAATTAGCTTATTTGGGCTGCTCTGGGTCTTCATTGCTCCACGTGGGCTTTCTTTAGTGGGGGCTACTGTGCGCTGCGGTGCGTGGGCTTCTCACCCCAAGTGGGTCTCTCGTTGCAGAGCACAAGCTCTAGAACACGTGGGCTCAGGAGCTGTGGCTCTTGGGCTCAGTGGTTGTGGCCCAAGGGCCCAGTTGCTCCACGGCAGGTGGAATCCCCCCGGCCAGGGCCCGAACCCATGTCCCCTGTATTGGCAGGCAGATTTCTATTGGCTGTGCCACCAGGGATGTTCTGAATCTGAGTTTTTAGAACTTTTTAGTCTGAAAGAATTTCTGACTTACAGAGATGCTGAAAAATTAATGCAAAAATTTCTGTATATTCTACCCAGATTTGTCAGATGTTAACACTTTACATTTGCTTTATCCCTCTCTCTCTTTCCCAAGTCTGTGTTTGTGTTATGAATGTATGCGTAATATATATTGTATATAATTTTTGAGACCCTTGTTTTGCATATATAAACCGCCTTATCATTAAGTACATCTATGTGTATTTCCTGAGATCAAGGACTTTCTCTTCAGTAACTACAGTGTAGTTATAAAAACTGGGCAATTAACACTGATATAGTAATGCTATCTAGTATAGAGACTTTATTTAAACATCGCCAACTACTCCACTAAAGTCCTTCACTACAAAAGAAAAAAACCTTTTTCTTCTGTATGTTGATTTTGCTCCTCTTAAAACATTAATCTTACAGATCTTTCTTATTGTTGTTCAGTTGCTCAGTAGTGTCTGACTCTTTGCGACCCCATGGACTGCAGCACACCATGCTTCCCTGTCCATCACCATCTCCCAGAGCTTGCTCAAACTCATGTCAATTGAGTTGGTGATGCCGTCCAACCATCTTGTCCTCTGTTGTCTCCTTCTCCTCCTGCCTTCAATCTTTCCCAGCATCAGGGTTTTTTTTAATGAGTCGGCTCTTCACATCAGGTAGCCAAAGTATTGGAGCTTCATCTTCAGCATCATTCCTTCCAATGAATAAACAGGATTGATTTCCTCTAAGATTGACTGGTTTGATCTCCTTATAGTCCAAGGGACTCTCAAGAGTCTTCTCCAACACTGCAGTTTGAAAGCATAAATTCTTCAACACAGCCTTCTTTATGGTCCAGCTCTCACATCCATACATGACTACTGGAAAAACCATAGCTTTGACTAGATGGATCTTTATTGGCAAAGTAATGTCTCTGCTTTCTAATATGCTGCCCAGGTTTCTCAGAGCTTTTCTTCCGAGGAGCAAGCATCTTTTAATTTCATGGCTGCAGTCACAATCTGCAGTGATTTTGGAGCCAAAGAAAATAAAGTCTGTCACTGTTTTCATTGTTTCCCCATCTATTTACCTTGAAGTGATGGGACTGTATGCCTTGATCTTAGTTTTTTGAATGTTGAGTTTTAAGCCAATTTTTTCACTCTCCTCTTTCACCTTCATCAAGAGGCTCTTTAGTTCCTCTTCACTTTCTGCCATAAGGGTGATGTCATCTGAATATCTGAGGTTATTGATATTTCTCCCAGAAATCTTGATTTTAGTTTGAGCTTCATTCAGCCTGGCATTTCATATGATGTACTCTGAATACAAGTTAAACAAGTTAAACAGGCAGGGGGACAATATACAGCCTTGATGTACTCCTTTCCCAATTTGGAACCAGTCTGTTGTTCCATGTCCAGTTCTTACTGTTGCTTCTTGACCTGCATACAAGTTTCTCAGAAGGCAGGTAAGGTGGTCTGGTATTCCCATCTCTTTAAGAATTTTCTACAGTTTGTTATGATACGCTAAAGTAGACTTTAGCGTAGTCAATGAAACAGAAATAGATGTTTTCCTGGAACTCTCTTGCTTTTTCTATGATCCAATGGATGTTGGCAATTTGATCTCTGGTTCCTCTGCCTTTTCTAAATCCAGCTGTACACCTGGAAGTTCTTGATTCACATGCTGTTGAAACTTCACTCAGAGAATTTTGAGCATTACTTTGCTAGCGTGTGAGATGAGTGCAACTGTGTGGTAGTCTGAACAGTCTTTGGCTTTGCCTTTCTTTGGAATTGGAATGGAAATTGACCTTTTCCAGTCCTGTGGCCACTGCTGCGTTTTCCAAATTTGCTGGCATATTGAGTGCAGCTCTTTCACAACATCATCTTTCAGGATTTGAAATAGCTCAACTGGAATTCCATCACCTCCACTAGCTTTGTTCGTAGTGATGCTTCCTAAGGCCCACTTGACTTCACGTTCCAGGATGTCTGGCTCTAGGTCAGTGATCACACCATCGTGATTATCTGGGTGATGATGATCTTTTTCTGTATAGCTCTTCTGTGTATTCTTTTTTTGTCAAAGGCTTTCTCTGCATCTATTGAGATAATCATATGGTTTTTATCTTTCATTTGTTAATGTGGTGTATTACATTGATTGATTTGCGGATATTAAAGAATCCTTGCATTCCTGGGATAAAGCCCACTTGGTCATGGGGTATGATTTTTTTAATATGTTGTTGGATTCTGTTTGCTAGAATTTTGTTAAGGATTTTTGCATCTATGTTCATCAGTGATATTGGCCTGTAGTTTTCTTTTTTTGTGGCATCTTTGTCTGGTTTTGGAATTAGGGTGATGGTGGCCTCATAGAATGAGTTTGGAAGTTTACCTTCTTCTGCAATTTTCTGGAAGAGTTTGAGTAAGAGAGGTGTTAGCTCTTCTCTAAATTTTTGGTAGAATTCAGCTGTGAAGCCATCTGGTCCTGGGCTTTTGTTTGCTGGAAGATTTCTGATTACAGTTTCGATTTCCTTGCTTGTGATGGTTTTGTTAAGATCTTCTATTTCTTCCTGGTTCAGTTTTGGAAAGTTATACTTTTCCAAGAATTTGTCCATTTCTTCCAAGTTGTCCATTTTATTGGCATAGAGCTGCTGGTAGTAGTCTCTTATGATCCTTTGTATTTCAGTGTTGTCTGTTGTGATCTCTCCATTTTCGTTTCTAATTTTGTTAATTTTGTTCTTCTCCCTTTGTTTCTTAATGAGTCTTGCTAATGGTTTGTCAATTTTGTTTATTTTTTCAAAAAACCAGCTTTAACTTTGTTGATTTTTGCTATGGTCTCTTTAGTTTCTTTTGCATTTATTTCTGCCCTGATTTTTAAGATTTCTTTCCTTCTACTAGCCCTGGAGTTCTTCATTTCTTCCTTCTCTAATTGCTTTAGGTGTAGAGTTAGGTTATTTATTTGACTTTTTTCTTGTTTCTTGAGGTAAGCCTGTAATGCTATGAATCTTCCCCTTAGCATTGCTTTTACAGTGTCCCATAGGTTTTGGGTTGTTGTTTTCATTTTCATTCATTTCTATGCATATTTTGATTTCTTTTTTGATTTCTTCTATGATTTGTTGGTTATTCAGAAGTGTGTTATTTAGCATCCATATGTTTGAATTTTTAACAATTTTTTTTCCTGTAATTGAGATCTAATCATACTGCACTGTGGTCAGAAAAGATGACTGGAATGATTTCAATTTTTTTGAATTTACCAAGACTAGATTTATGGCCCAGGATGTGATCTATTCTGGAGAAGGTTCCGTGTGCACTTGAGAAAAAGGTGAAGTTGATTGTTTTGGGGTGAAATGTCCTATAGATATCAATTAGGTCTAGTTGGTCCATTGTGTCATTTAAAGCTTGTGTTTCCTTGTTAATTTTCTGTTTAGTTGATCTATCCATAGTTGTGAGTGGGGTATTAAAGTCTCCCACTATTATTGTGTTGCTATTAATTTCCTCTTTCATACTCGTTAGCGTTTGCCTTACATATTGCAGTGCTCCTATGTTGGGTGCATATGTATTAATAATTTTTATATCTTCTTCTTGGATTGATCCTTTGATCATTATGTAGTGTCCTTCTTTGTCTCTTTTCACAGCCTTTATTTGAAAGTCTATTTTATCTGATATGAGTATTGCGACTCCTGCTTTCTTTTGTTCTCCGTTTGCATGAAATATTTTTTTCCAGCCCTTCACTTTTAGTCTGTATGTGTCCCTTGTTTTGAGGTGGGTCTCTTGTAGACAGCATATATAGGGGT